CGTCAGACTCGAGTGCAGTCACGCCTCCGCCCTCGACCTTGAAAAGACCACCAGTGAAAGAGCCAGTAAATCGTCTAGAGGGTGGCTTGAAAATTCACAGAATGGTCCATGTTCCTCCCAGTAACAAGAAGAATGGTGCCCTGAGAAAGTGTCGCGTGAGTGCTAAGCACAAGATTAGAAAAGAAACAAGTATCATGTGTGCAGGCTGTGGTGTGGCTCTCTGCAAACTTTCATGTTTCAATGTTTATCACACGAAGAAAAACTAATAAAGAGGTATGGAAAGGAATTTATTGCATAAAATATTGTATTTTAATTAGTTCCTGAAAATTTCGTTTTTAAAAACCAATTTTTGTTGAAGTTGTTTAGGAAAAAGTAACTACATGCATTTTAGCGACATAAGGTTTAAAGGGCCTGCCAGGACAGGGGTGGGATTTAAATACCCTTCGCGCCAGTCAAAGAGTTAATCAGCCCAGCTAATTTTCTGGGTACTCCAAACTCTATGAGAATATTGAACACTACTTTCCTATCAACTGAATCATAGGCTTTCTTGAAGTCTATGAATAACTGATCTGCTGCCTCATTGTACTCCCATTTTTTCTCCAGTATCTGATGAATGCAAAAGATTAATCACTACTTGATCTGTTACATCACAACCCGCATTGATAATCCCCAATAATTTCATGTGTGTATATGTATATATATAGACTTGACTGTGAGAGAAGGATATTGAATCAAATTTTGAATGAAGTTAATAGCAGTGATATCCCATGATAATTACTACAGTCGGTTTTATCACCCTTATATGTATACAGTGGCCGTCTTGTAGTGCACTCAATTTCACCTGTCACTTCACAACATGTTTCGGCAACATAGTGCCATCATCAGGTGTCCCAATTACGTCAATCTATTGCATTGCTTGAGAGAGTAGCACTACAAGACGGCCACTGTATACATATAATGGATGAAAATCAGTGCACCAGGACGCTAAAATATAACTTTATCACCCTTCTTGAAAATAGTTCTCCTTCCACTGATCAGCAATCCCGAGTCCTGAGTCAGATTAATCAAGTGCACGTACTCCCATTCACTTTCTATGAGGTCTATTTTAATATTGCTCTCCTGTCTACCCCAAGGTCTTCTGAGCAGTGTCCGCAAGTTTTCGTACTGACACCTGGTATGCGTTTCTCTTCTTTCCCATGCTTGCTGCATGCCCCAGTCATCGCATCCTTCCAAATCTTGATCATAATAATTGGGGAGAAGTATAGATTATGACTGTCGCACATTGACATGAAATACTGACAGAAAATATGTGTCTGACTAGTGTACAGTTAACATGTGTTATGCTGTATCAACTGCTGATAAAATAACCAGATATCATCATATGTTAACTGTACACTATTCAGGCACATTTTTATGTTGGTATTCCAAGTGAATGTGCGATATAGTCCTTGTGTCAACTGTTGGACCGCTTCTGTGGTCTAGTGGTCAGAGTTCCTGACTATAGATCCAGAGGTCCGGGTTTGATTCCCGGCACTACCAGATTTTCTGAGAAGTAGTGGGTCTGGAACAGGGTCCACTTAGCCTTGTGAGGATAATTGAGGAACTGTTTCAAGTAAATAATGGCTCCGGTCTAGAAAATGAGATTAACGGCCATGGGGATTGGTTGCACTGACCACGCGACACCCTCTGTCCACTAGGGTTGGCACTAACTTTGACGACAGGCAGCAGTCGCTCGGTCAGTATAGTTCGCTTGTGGACTAAAACCACGGAGTTTGTTTTGTTTGTGTCAACTGCTGAGGTTGTGTAGAATCCAGTGAGATAGGGTGTGGTGGTTATGAATGGATTCAGTTCTTGTCACATTTTAAGATACTCTTTGCAGTATTTATGTAGAAGGTTAAAGGAAATCGCGTATCATATAATTTGTTGCTCTCCTGGTCTGCTTTGTTACTTAGTTACAGAATAAGGATGGGAGGGGGAAGAGTTTGTACACACTTTGTATAATCCAGTTTGGAGTATACAAGTTTGTTCCTTTCAATTTTTAATTATGTATTGATCCCAATGTTAGTTTACTACAATACACAGATACACTGCAGCAACATAGAGATTGGATATTAAATGTGAATATGACGTTTATTTTTCCAGCTTGGAATACAGTGTCAAGAGAGCTGGAGAATTTCAGTCAAAATGGTGCTGACACTAGCAAAGGTAAATCTCTGCTTATGTTAGTGTTATGTTGTTACATCACCAACCAGTATTGAGGGAAGTGTTTTAATTTTGAGATGTAATGTTTATAAAATCCTGTTGTGCCTCTTGTCTGGTCTAAAATGTATGTATGTATGTATGTATATATGTTGAAACTCCAATTTTGCAGCTTCAGATTTTATTCTGTTTCCTGATTTTACACATTTTATTTGCTTATATATGTTGTATGTGAAGGTGTTATGATGAAAAAATCAATCTCAAGATTTTGTGATGGATTTTGATGTTTTCAATCCCCCCCTAAATTTGAAAGAGTGACTTTCAGATTCTGACTGACTGTAAATCTGTATATGTTAATGGGTACACTCACTAGCACCTGAGGGGCTGGATTGATATTAGTCATATTTGGTATTTGAGAGTTCTTCCATTGCAGGTCAGTGCCTGGTGAAAAGGAACTTTCTACAAGGTTTTTTTAGTAACTTGATGAGTTCACAGCGAGCGGTGTGCTGCTTGCTGCCAGGCGCGTACAGATTTTGCCAATGAATCAGCTGATAACATTTGGAATGAAGGGAAGTAATTAACTTGCAGACCGTTTGACGGCATTATGCTTCACGACTAGCAGTGTGGTTCATGTATGAGAGTTTGTTTATGTTTTGTCAGCAGTAGGCAGCAGTTATCATCTCCTTTATGAGCTCCATTAGTCATTTGTTCTCAGTTACAGTTAGTGAGTGACATGTTCCATTAAGGTGTGGTATGCTTTAGGGTAACATATATTCTTCTGTGACACCTACATGAAATATGGTTCAGCTAGAAAGTGTGGAGGAACATTTTGACGTAAATTTTGTAATGAAAAATTTCCCAGCAGACAAGCAAGTCACAATTTGCTGAATAAACTTAGGACAATGGGGTCTTGATAGACAAGAAACAAAACCTAAGTGTGGGGTGCTTACTGAGGAGAAGTTAAATGACATAGGAGCCAGACTTGAATGTACGCCTAGAAAATCACTTAAACATCTGACTCAGGAGACTGGAGTGTCAGTGTCTGTCTAGTGCAAGATCAGCAGTACAACTGCTGAAGCCATCCAGTGAAGGTTGGCATTTGGTGTGCTGTAAGTGCAAGAAGGATTGTTGTATCTTTGTTTTAAATGAAACAGTTAATTGTGAAAAATATCTACATGTACAGAGGACAGCATTTTCAACACCTCCTTTGATCTGTGAATTGTAACTACTTCATTCCAAACATTATCAGCTATCAGGCATGCCGCTTCATCGGCAAAATTTGCAGCAAGCAGCGCAACACTCACTGTGAAGCGCAGAGCCATGAATTCATTAAGTGAGTAAAAAAAAAGAGACCTTGTAGATGTGAAAATACCAGACCTTCAGATGTGCCTCAGAATACAAGAGGCAATTTCCTTGAAAATAGCTCCAACAGTTTTAATTAAATTTCAGTAATTTATGAAGACCATCTATGTACTTGAAACTACATAGATGATATCTCCAGGAAAGTAATTGTACATTCACTAGGGGCCCAAATTAGAGATCGCAGTTTTGTTGAAACTGCTTCGACCAGTCGATATTATTCGGTATTCAGTAGCCAGCAGCGGTATGCTGAGCATCTGTTTATTTAATTTCCAAGGCCAACTTCATATGTGAAAGTATGTGGAGTATCTTTGCACCAATCTTATGTTTTCTCCTGGACAAATGCCCATAAGAAGAATATTACATATTAACTACATTTATCTTTTTCCTGAGTTTGTACTTCATTTGTCAAGTCCTGACAACAGAAAGTTACCTGATCTTATATTTACCACATTTTATTTTGAAAAATGAGAAGAAACACTAGAGAAGTTTACTCCATATTCAAGGTTTGTCATAATAAAATGGTATATCATTGCTTATGAAAGGTTTTTAACCTCACTTGAGAGATCTGAGTCATGAAACAAATGTATCTGTTTGATTATATAAATAACACGGTAAACTCCATCTTATGAACCTTGCATAGGCAACATTATGGAGGATAAGTCCTGTGTATATATGTTTTAATTTCCTACAGGCATATAAACCTTGGAAGAATGTTGAATGTAGTATTTTCTAATGATGACATAATGGTCTGTGACAGTAAAGTGGCTGGAAGGTGAAACTGAGCACTCACCTCCAACTGGTGTTTGAGGTCAGGAATGGTGCAGCTATACCCCCACTCCCCCATATGTCTTCCTGGCTTGGTGCTTAATTAACTAGGCACAAGGAAAATTTTATCTTACACTGATGCTGGTTGGCTCTAAAACACTAAAAATACCGTGACATATGGGCCGCTTCTGTATCGGTAGAGGCATGCTGTAATTGCTGAATTCAGATTGTTACTTCCTCAAAAGCAGCTACTGAAACAGAAGATTTGTCCATAACATAAAGTACAGATCTAATTATGATTAACTTTTGTTTGAAATATTTATCGTTCTGGTGAATATTTAATGAAGTACAATACAATAGATTAGATTAAATTTAAGTTAAACATGTTCATGACTGCCAAAGCCTGAATTTAGTTGTCAGTTTGATTTAAAGGTTTTTTTTTTGCAAAGTTTTAAGTACTCCATTAGTTAGTTAAATCAGTTTGCTTCTGATTTATCAGTGGCACAGGAAGAATTGCCATCTGCCTGGGAAGAATAGATTTCTTTATGCAGTGAAAACCACCAAAAATTCATGATGAACACATGTAATTTTATTGATACTAAATTGAGTGCTGCCTCTTATTCCTGCACTCAGTCAATATTCTGGATAATTTTAATTTACTGCAAAGTTAAGGAATTGACACTGCAGGTCACTGTGAAGCTTTTCTTGTTTTGGAGGTGTAGCCTGATCTTTCCTTATCTGTCAGTGGACGGTCTGTGCCACACCCTGGCAGTTTTACTCCCAAGAAAATAGCCTCCAGTACCTATTGGGCAGGAGGCTGGATTTGACCCTTTAGCTGGTTGGATGAGATGTGAAGAGAAAAATCACTGCCCATGACAGAAATGAAACCCACATTCTCCAGCCATCCATCTGGTAACCTAATCACAATACGGATTTATCTGTCCAGATCCCATTACTTAGTGTACATGGATCATTTAGTGTTTTGCTCAAGTCAAGGTGTGATGTGCAGGTGTACAGTGTATGTATATCTTTGGTTTTGTTCTGATGCAGGAGGACCAAGTGTATTGTACTATGTGGAACAAGAGCCAAATCCACAACTGAAAGGTAAACACATTAAAATCTCGGTATATAAATATTTTGAGACTAAAATTTGAGGTTCTCATACCAGTGACTATGAATATTACTGTCTGCCAGGATGCGACACCGTATAATTTGATCGATAGGTTTTTGAAGAAACTGCTGCATCCATATTCAGTGTTTTCTGCCTTGACATGTTGAAATCTGTCTACCAAACTACATGGAATTATGAAGAATGCCGTCTTCTGGGATATGGCATCCTGTACATCTTGTGTGAACCGACGTTTCGGAGGAATGTATCGCCTGAAAAATCTGCGAGTGAGGAAACAGCATGAGCAGATGGCTGCAGTCTACACAACACCACATCCCAGAAGATGGCATTCTTCGTAGTTATGCCCAGAGAACCCCAAGCTTCACACAGTGATATTCTTTGGGGAGGTCACTCTATGTAATGTTCACAGAGTTGAAACCCTCTGAACCAAGAAAGCCAAGTTACTTCCATTTTCTCTGAAGATGGTGCAGCAGGTTCTTCTGGAATGTTAACCAGATCCCAGAAGCTACAAAAATAGTCACACTGGACGGAGTTGTTATGTTTTTGTAATTTGTTAGTGTGACGGACCAGAATGAAACAAATCAATTCAGATCCCAGAAGGGTCTAATCTTCATTGAAAATTTAATTTCACTTTTGTTATTCGTCTCTGAGAGGTTTCTGTGTGTATGTTCATGTATGAAAAGTTTCTCAATCGTTTAAAACACTGCCAGAAATTTTGTCTTCCTTTTTTTTATGTAGTGCTGTTGTCAGATCCATCATCAGGGAAGTCATATTTATCTGCATATTCTTGACCCAGTAATAGTGATATTCTTAATAAGTAAGTAAGTAAAGGTATCCCTGTAACAGGGCATGGAGGCCCATAGGGTTGTGAGATGTTGAAATTCCCACATTTTCTAGACAATCAGCTCATAGATGGCGGCAAGGTTGTCAGCCTTACGCACTGGCCTCCCTTTACCCCCAAGAATATTCCTGGTACTCATTTCTGTTAGAGGCTGAGTCAACCCCAGGGCCATAGTGCAGCTGGAAGGTTTAGGTCAATTGAAAAAAATCCAGTGACCTCATCAAGACTTGAACCCACGACCTTCCGGCTTGTAGCATAGTGCCTCAACCAATTACGCTATCACGTTTAATAAACTAATTTAAATAACATATTTATTATTGAAATGAAAGCATCAAATATTATGTTGAATTTGAGATTCTGGCAGTGCTACACTGCATTTTGACACTGAAGATGGAGAAAATGTGCTCTTCCAAGACATAGCTTGACTTTCACCAAGCTGAAGCTTGACTTCATAAAATTTTGTGTTAATATTTCTGATCATTTAAGATTGTCACTTTACTTCAAAGGCAAAACATCTTTATATTATGTTTTCACCAGAGTAAATAAATATCTCAAAGTAATATTATAGAGCTAAATATTTCACTTTATATGTAAGTGTACAAAAACGAAAGTGATGCTTTCATTTTATTTTATATGTTGAACCAGTGTCAGATTTTAAGTTTAGCAGTCATGGAAACATTATAATGACTGGATGCTGAGTGTGTATTTTTACTTCTTCTGTCTCCTTGCATTAATTTAATTTTTACAGCTCCCATCATTCAAAGGATCATAGTAAAAACAAATAGTAACTTGATAGTTTAGGCAGAGCCATGAATGCTACTTGACTGCTGTTTGCTGATTTCTTGCTTGGCTTACTCTTTGACCCTGAAAATAGAGGCAGGATGTTCCTCTCAAAATAAGTGAATTTCTGCAGTCTTCATGGCGTTACATCCCAGAAGATTGTACTCTTCATAGTCACTATTATGAGAATCTCATCTCCAGCTTTGCGTTTGTTATACAGCTCTTTAAATCTGTGAGGTTTGGATCCTTCTTCACATACAGAGTATCATCTTTGAGACTACTGAATGAATGTCAGTGAAATTTGGTATTGGTGGGCATACAGTAAAAGTTGTTAGGTGAATTTAATTTTGGTTCTTGTATATTTTTGCTTTGACCCCTACTTTTCATGAAGCTCAAATCAGACTCTTTTAAGTTTTCTCAGAAATGGCTTATGATACAAAAAATTTCTCATGACATGTAATGTAGATAACATTCTTTATTTTGATATGGTAGTTATCAGCATTTGAATATGCTAATGATGATAATGTACTGGACAAAAATATGAATTCTCTGAGGAGACACACAGCAATTATTAAGTGCTAGTAAGAATATTGGTTTCACAGTAAATGCAGGAAGAAATGGAAGTAAGTATTCATGTTTTTCCACCAGAATGCAGGACATAATCGTAATATGAGCACGGCTGATAAATCCTCCAAAACTCTTGCGGAGTTTGAGTATTTGGAAATGACAAATTTAAATTGCATTAACAAATAAGTGAAGAGCAGATTACATTTGTTGTATACTTGTGTTCAGTTCAGAATATTCGTTTCTTCCTATCTGGGAGTTAAAAATGTAAGGTTTAAAATATACTGAAGTTTAATTGTGGTTCTTGTTTTGTATGGGTGTGAAGCTTGGTCTCTCATGTTACGGGACGAGTATTTGAGAACAGGGTGCCACAGAATATTTGCACATAAGAGGAAGAAGTACACCAGGTGGGACTGAAATTAACTGGGACACATCAGCTGTTGGTCTATGCTGAAGATGTGAATCTACTGGGAAGAAAAACACAGACCTTAATTGACACAAGTGACGAGGTTGGGCTAGAAGTAAACACAGAGAAAACTAAGTATATGTTGCTGTTTCATCACCAAAATGCAGGGCAAAATCATTACATAATGATAGGCAACAGATGTTTTGAAAATGTGGCACAGTTCAGATATTTTGGAACAATGATTAGAATATACAAAACTATAATTTTGCCTGTGGTTCTGTATGGGTGTGGACATTAAGGGAGGAACATAGACTGAGGGTGTTGAGGAGAATATTTTGACCAAAGAGAGATGAAGTGACAGGAGGTTGGAGAAAACTGCATAATGAGCTTCATAACTCGTACTCTTCCCTGAGTATTATTAGAATGATCCGGTCAAGGAGGATGAGATAATGTAGAATGAAGGAGAGGAGAAGAAGAATGCATATAGGATATTGGTGGGGAAGCCAGATGGAAAAAGACCAATGGGAAGACAAAGGTATAGGTGGTTGAACAATATTAAAATGGATCTTATAGGGATGGGATGGTATGGATTGGATTGATCTGGCTCAGGATATGGACCAATGGAAGGCTCTTGTGAACATGGTAATGAACCTTCATATTCCATAAAAAGCTGGGAAGTTCTTGAGTAGCTACACAATTGGCAGCTTCTCAAGAAGGGCTCAGCACCATGAGTGAGTTCATTTTTTATAAAGTCCAAATGTGTTTTATGAGGTATGTCACTGTCAAAGCATTGCTGTTGTATAGTTTTCACTGCTATGAACATTTTTTATTACAGATTTTGAACCATTTGACCTTGAAGGATGGTGGGGGAAGAGAGTGGTGCAGAATATTACACGTACCCAGTCATCATAGTGGGTAGGACAGCATTATTACTTGCACTGTGTTGCCAAGTAACTTTGTGTTGGTAACGACGACATGATCAGTTGCCTAGCATCGGTGTGTAAGGACTTGGCTGCATTTTACTAAAACATGCAAAATGTGCATATTATTTTGACAGTGACAAGTGACGTCAAGTGGATTTGGATTCATTTTATCAGGTGCAATAGGATTTATTATGAGATTTATTATTTGAGGAATAATTTGGGGGTAACATAAGTGAACATTTTTTAAAGTCAGTAATTCAATCTGAACTGAGATTTCAGATGGAAGATGGAACAGTATGTTCAATTTTGACCTTGTTCATTTGTTTTAGAATGGAGTTCCCATTGTTTCCAGACTTACTTTCCAATAGGATTTTAAGGCATTTTATTCCTTCAATGAAAACATTTTACCATTTTCAGTCTGTGTCAGTATTCCCTGTAGATTAGTTATGTTGGAAAGCAGAATGATAAAGAAACTTTGAGCATACAAAAGCATGACACATTCCTCTCTGTCACTTTAGCTAGTTTTTACACATGTTTTCTGGAAATTCACATTTTACTCTAGTACAGTATTCTTTTATTTGAGTTTTAATGTACAGCGTTCATCAGAAGTCACATTATCTCTGAAGAAAGCAGTCTTCTGGGATTTGGCACCGTGTATATGTGGTGTTAACCGACGTTTCGGAGGAACGTATCGCTTCCATCTTCAGGGTAGAAGAAAAAATATAAGAAATCTGCAAGCGAAGAGACCGTGAGAACCGGTAAAAGCAGACTGGGTGCCAAATCCCAGAAGACTGCTTTCTTCATAGTCACCGCCGTGAAAGCCTCAAATCTTACACATTATCTCTGTTTGCTGTTGAGATTGGTGTGAGGTTGACTGGCCAGTTATTAATTATTAACTTGTATTGAATGCGTAATATGATGTGCAGGACTTGTTGGAATCAGATTTTTCCAGTACAATGTGTTCTGTCAATTGCTGGTTCAAACAGATCTCTGTGTGTGGCTGATGCTTCTGCCCATATCAGCATGGGATGGATTGTGTTCTGGTTCTGGTGAAAGTCTTTAATTTCTATACCCCAGAAACAAATATTCCTTGATTGTGAACTCTGATAGATCCACACATAGCTCAAGTGGTTAGTCGCTGGCTTCCCACTGTGGTGGCCCGGGTTCAATCCCGGGTCTGGTCAAGTGATATTTGTGGTGGACAAAGTGGCGCTGTGGCAGGTTTTCTCTGAGTACTTCGGTTTCCCCTACCAATCTTCATTCCACCAATTGCTCCACAATCGCCCTCACCCATCATCGGGCTGGTACAATAGGCCAGAAGTGGCCGCAGTACAAGGAACTTGGTCCCCCCCCCCCACTAGCAATAAAAAAATAATAACTCTGATAGATTGCATGCTCATGTGAAATTATAACATATCCATGTTTTGGAACCATATTCATCACAAGCCTAAATACAGTAACAACAGAACTAGATAATGACAACAAGAACAATAGTAATTCAATTCTTTATCTACTTACATGAGCTGAGGGCGAGTTACCATTTGGCAAGGGTAAGGGAAAGGAAACACACATGAGACAAAACAACGTGAATTAATAATATCAATTTCAGAAACTATTCTGTTCATTGTGGTACATAATATTGTCCTTCAAATTTGATGAGGGAGGAACCATGTCATTCTTCTTTGTTCTTCCATTCCTTCATCATCTTTCCATTGTTTACCTTGTATTCCTTTTCCATCCCATATTCCCATATGTCATCCTGTTCTCATTGCCCTCCCTTATGTGGCAATGGCAGAACACCGTTTGGGCTTCCTCTGTATCGTAGCATGAGCAGAAGGTAGTTGGGTTTCTCCGGTATCATAGGGAGACAGTCCCATTTTTTTTTTTGCATAGGAAGTAACTGGGAAGTGTGTTGGCCTGGACTTGCACACAGCAGCAAATTAACAATTTCTCCAGGATATGACATTGTTTGGGAGAAATGGAGCAGTTCAGACAAACTGGTGATTTTACATGTAAGAAGGTGATGATGACAGCAATAACAACAGCTACTTCTGTGCATGTGCGAATCTTCATTTTTTTAGATTGAGGAAAAAAGTCTTGAACCTTGAGAATTTTTTGATAACTTTTGCTTTGCACATTGGGATCATGTTAAAAAAGAATTCTTATGATATAAGCTTTGTACTAAAGTTCTGAGACTGAGTCTGTAAAAAATACAAAATTCAGCTTAATAATGAATGGTTCCCCTGCTCTTCAAAGTAATCCCCTCCACAGTCAGTACACTGTTGCCAGTGTTTTTGCAAATCCTGGAAGCAGCTGGTGAATGCCTTTTTCAGAATATCTGTGAGCTCCATTGTAACAGCCGCTTGAATAGCCTTGATATTCTCGTGTTGCCATCCTTTTAGCATTCTTTTCAGCTGTGGAAATGGGCAAAATTGCGTGGAGAGAAGTCAGGAAAATACAGGGGATGTTGAAGCACAGTAACGTTGTGTTTAGCAAGAAATCTGTTGACACTTAGAGCTGTCTGTGGTCTTGCATTGTCGTGCAACAGAGTCCACTTTCATCCCAAATTCTCTTCTGAAAGTGAAGAAATCATTCTCACACATGCCTGATTTCTTTAGCAAAAATCAGAGTTAGCAGCGCAAGGAAAGGAAAAGTATATATATATTTGTATTCACTGCAATTAATATTTTAATGAAGTACCATGGCTGTTGGGCATGCTGTAGTGTAGTTTGTTGATGCACTGTGGTAAAAGCCAGAAGGTTACAGGTTCTGTTCCCAGTGAGGTCATTGAATTTATCAATTGACCTGGGATTGACTCAGTTTTTTAAGAGAATTGAGTACCAGGAATCTTCTTGGGGTTAAAGGGTGGCTGGCATGTGTGACTGATTGCCCAGAAAATGTGAGGAACCTCAATGTCTCACTACTCCACAGGCCTCCACAGTCTGTTAGAGGGATAGCTTTACCTTTTTACATTTATCATGGCAGATATAAAATAACATTGTAATATTAACAGCAGCATTATATAGGAGCAGTGTGACTTCTGATACACCATGTAATTGTAACTGGGAAATAGATACTCTTGATAGTCAGTATTGTTAACTTTTATACTCTGCAAGTGACAAGTAAATCAGCAGTCACAAACAGTTAGCCTTCACGAAATGTGTTTTATACTCTGAATGGTATCTCTGAAGTTGTAAACGTGATTGTTGCAATTCTGGGTACAAATTGAAACACTGTTGCTTCTTAGTGTATGTTTGCTGCTATTTATAATTTATTATAATTTTATATATGAACAATTATTTGATCCTGTCACTTTATAAGTGCCGTGGTAAATTGGCATGGTATTGTAATGTAAAACATTCAAATAAGAAATTTTTGATGTACCAGTGTGTACGATGGGGTACCCAAAAGAAACTGAACTAATTTTTTTGTGGGCAGAGCTTTTGTAGTACCACGTTTTGCCGCTATGAGCGCATAGAGCTAACATTCCTGAGTCGATAAGCCGACTACCGTTGTTTCAGAAGGTAAGGACTAGTTTCGGCAGAGTTTATAGTGACAACTGTTTTGT